TGTTAGCTGGCACCAATGGCTAAATTTAGAAAGGCCGTGATCCTTCTGATGCTTCTTTTAAGCTCTACTGGGCAAGTAGAAGGCTTAGGAATTAAATGAGGTCACTCCAGTCCTAAGGGTGCTCTGAATTCTTTCAAGGCTATTAAAACTTGCACAGCTAATTTTTTTTCTTCTTTAGTATGGCTGAAATAGTTTTATAMCAAGTAGATTGCAGTTCATTAGTGATCAGTGTGGTCCTCTACAACATATTAAGGTCTGTATTAGGAAACAACACTTTTTGTCTTCACTAGCAAAAAACATGCACACTTCTTTTGGGAGACATGAACCCAAATCCCTGTCATGATGTCAAATTCTACTGGAGAGAAGATTCTTTTTTTGTAAACTTAATAGTACAGATTTATCTACATCTGAAATCAAATCCACTTGCAATTTCAAGGTAAGGTTCTAGGTTCTCCATARTGGCAGAAAGACAATCTTGTCTACTTTAGGTCACTGTGATACACACGTATAAAGTACCTACACACAGATAGATATTTATATTTGATCAATATAAAAGAGGGTAGAGCATAGCTAAAAAGCATTTAGCATATTTTGTTTTGGATCAACATGAATATATGCAAATGAGAGGCTATTTAATAATGGTTATTACTGCTTAGCTGATAGAAACCAATTCTACTGAAAGCAGCAACTGTAGTATGTTGTTGTTTCAGAAAGTTATCCCATCTGGAAAATACAGTTTAAACTGGAGAAATAAGAGGTGCTATATTTAATTCAAGGCCTTCACTTGGATCAGAATRAGCAGCATGATAAGAAATTGTTAAAATCATACTAATCAGCCTAATTTGTACCTGATGCTTCAGAGCTACATGAATGAAACAAGGATCACTCACAAAATACATTTACACGTCCACAACATATGGATGAACATATCCTCTCATTCTCATATTTTGTGCTAGTAAACCCATCATYTTACTCTAAATTACTATAATTTATGTTGCTAATAATCTTGATAATCTTCCCTATCCTAGTGGTAAGTTAATAACCAGAAGCACAGACAATTCTTTGGTAAAGCCTCAAGAGGCACAGCACTTTGAAGTGCATGAAAACAGCATGAAGTGCAGGCCTGCTGCTCATGGAGCAGATAAAGCATAACACAATGAAATCACATTTAGTCTGAAARGAAGACGTCAGTAGTTCTAATGGGGTAAWGCTTCAAGGTTTCTGATATTTAGGACAGATTACCAGAGGTATGCAGGGCATTACATAAGCATTTAAGTATCCCWGGGATTTTTCTAAATGACCCTAAGCAATTTCTATGCCAACATTTATTCACATTTTCTTTTGACTTCCTGGAATACTGAGAAAAGAGATCCTTGAAACAAAGCATAGGGACACTTTGGAACAAAAAACTCTTCTATTATCAGATGGCAAAACTTCCTCAGGGATGCAGAGAACAAGGTCCTGATTTTTCAAGAGCATTTTTATGGGTTTCATAAAAAACACTTTCTTATGGTTTTCCATTTTTATGGTTTAGTAGTTTTCTACTAAAAGCTTTCACCAAGCTGTGAACCAAACATTTTACAAAACAAAAATGGAAGCCTGTACAAATTCTATAAAATGCATGTCAAATCCAGTAGATAAAAAGTGTAATTTTGATCAATCCTGTTGTGTTAATCCTGCTATARAATGACTTGGCTCTTCAGTAATAGTCTGTCAAGCACAAATAACTGGAAATGGAAAAGCYGAAACTAACACCCTCATTAGTTCATAATAAATGTGATGATAAAGATCTAAAATGTATTMATTTCTGTTTGTAAAAGCTACCTTAATGGTGTAATAGTATCCCAAATTGAAGGCCTGGTGTGCAGTGGTTCCCTGTACTGAACCAACAAATCCATGGTATAGGCCAGGAAGTCCATCTGTCTTTGCAATTTTAATAATCCAGTCCACAGGTTCCTGGAGCTGTTGCTCAGCAGCACCTAATAGAAAAGAAATTTATGCACATCAACATGGTGTTCTTCATTACAGACACCCTGCTTTCAGTACAAACTGCTTGCATAACTGAAACATTTAAACAGAGGAGATCATTGCTATGTCTCTTTATTAACAAAGCATAGAGATGTGGAGGGGTGAAGACACTATTCAAACATAGTGATTTCTATTTGCTGAAATACCTTTCAGGTCAAGTAACTACCATTCCAATGCTGCTGTCATTCAGCAGAATCCTTAAATAAGAATTCTCTTTTCTCTGGAAAGAATTTGYTCTATGGAATACCACACTTTCACTTCCTCCCCACACATTCTAACTCATATTTATGAGAAACTTGTTACTTGTTTCAGCTTTTCCCTAGCAAAAGTTAAAAAAGTGTGACAAAGTTAAAGAATCCACTTTTTATATGTGTAGATTTTTCATCTGCTTCCAGTTCTTGGGACTCTCTACAGGTGGAAACATGGCAGGCAGTATTAGAACACTGACCTTTGTGCTTAATAAAACTTCAAAGCACGCAGAGCAAGATCCATCTAAAACACTCTATTCACAAAATAACCAAGGAATGTGGCAGTCTCAGAGTAATTCCTACACTGAGSTATTTCTAAATTTTCACTTGTAAAAGCTGATCACAGTAGAAGAAATATTTTATATAACTTTTTACAATGGCRATGTCTGTAATAGCTGTGCTGGCTTTAACTGCATCAGGGGCACATCTTGTGTAGTAAATGCAGACCATGTGGATGTACCCAAAATCACATTTTATTTGCCAGTTTGGGAACARCTGCGTTGCTGTAGTATCCCATTTCCTGTCCTGAAGAGAACATGTAAGAAAGCATCCAAAGACCCTGAGCTTCAACAATAGATATGCCACTTTGCTAAATATTGTACTTCTAAGGAAATTAATCTTGAGTGWTATTCATGGAATGTTTCTAAAATTTGAGTCACGAGCTCATACACATGTACGCCATCTGGAAGCACTTCCAGGAGATTTTAAGAACTATAAACAGTGTTATTTACACAATGCCTGTTTTACTTTTTCCGCTGTAAGAAAAGAAACAACCTTAAACTCTTTAAGACAAAATGACTGTAATTGAAAAGGGACTGCTAAAGAATTTGCATGCAATACCAGGAGATTAATCAAACTTCAGTGACTGACAGAATTCCTTCTGGTCAGCACTACTAGAAAAGCCTGTGGCAAGAAAACTTTCTGGCATTGTAGTAAAGAACTGTCAACAAGAGAAATCACAGAACACTGGATTTTTGTTTACATTATCAAAACCTAATCAAAGCAATCCTGAAAGWGATAACCTAAGACAGAGACAAATGAAGCAGATTTTCCATTTATTTTCACATTAAACAAATAAGATATGAAGAATTTCTTTTCCATTCTGCTGATATGAATGAATTTTATGTAATTTGCCAAATGCCAGTATCAACATTTCATATTCCAAGACCAAGACTTCTTGTAATTAATTCCATGGGCGTAGGCCTGTGTGCCTTTCAGGAATCCATCTGAATGGAGGAACATTTACAGGCACCTTACAAAATCATTAATCATTTAAGATCAAAACCCAGATTTTATTACCACAGCAATAAGCTACACAGTAAGCCATGCTGCCTCTTTCTCTTGCTATAAAATAGGCTCATWACAAAACCTTATCAATATACCCCCACTAATTACCAACCATGCTGACGGAAAGAACTGTGCAGCTCTTGACCAGATCTAGTTTGTTTATTCAAACTAATATGCAAAAGAGTATTTTTACCTTTTTCTTTATCCTCTCTGGACATAAAAATGTGTTTGCATTTGTCCTTAAAACCAACCTTTAGAGCCTGTGTTGGGAAATAMTGTGTAACATTTGTCAAACCACCAATGCCAAAAATTCTATGGAGAAAGACATGGATCTTTAAAAATAACGAGATTTTAACATTTCCAAAGCTTATACTACATCAATATATTAAACATTATCTCTTCTATTTGGTATGAGCTGTAACAAAAGCCAAAAATATTCCTTTATTTTTCAAGCATTTGTTTCTAGAAATTTGGATTTATTTTGAAACTTACCAACAGCATGTGAATTTGGTGTTAGCACAAGAACATCTCAAACTACGAGTGAAACATCAGTAATAGGAGAAACAGCTCAGATTTGCAACTTCCTGACTTCATYCATTTCTAGGACTATGGATACCTATGGAAACTGCAGGATAGCAGAGTATTGACAGGACTGAGCAGACACTGCTCTCCCAAAGCAACCTCCCTACACATTTTGGTGAGAGAGGGTGCTCACACTCCACAGTAAAGCAATGCCAGATACAGATATCAGAAACTTGGTGGCACTTTAAAAATTAYATTATTCTTCTAAATTATATAAAGGGTTCCTCTGGACACTGTGATAAACATCAAAAAGCACTGCAGCAAAGACTGCTTATCTTCCTCCACACTCCTTTTTCCATCTACCATGAAATCTAATCCCCAAACCTCACACATTTTAGACTGTTAAGAGGTGTAACAGAGTAAATCTCACAGCACTTGATTTATACATGGGGAACCGTTAAAACACTACTGGTGTACTTGGTATGCCTCAGACTGAAATATTATTGCTCATCTGCTGGGAATCATAGATCCTGGAGAAAGCTGATTAGCAAAGTCTTCAATCATGCCTGCACTTCAGGCCTAAGAGTTGTACTGCTTGAACTAAAGCTGAGTGATCAAGACAAGCTGTGAATCACTCTGTGAGCACTGTAAGCATTTGATTGACTGTTTTAGAATGACTCCAAACAGTGTAATTTACTAGTGAAAACAAGATCTAAAGATTTGGTCATGAGAACCCATGAAATTGAATTTCCTTTCATGAACACTTAAATGTTTTGATCCCACTCTTTAATAACCAACTCTAGTTAAGCATTTTATGAAAAGCACTCATGAAAAGTAAGTAGAATAAAATAATAACATGAAAGAGAAARTACATTAAGTAAAAAAAGAATAACAAATTACCGCTTTACTACTCTTTAACAAATATACATTTTTATTATGAAATTTTGAATATAAAATAAGCCAAATCCATGCATAAGTCTTGAAACCACCCTGCCCGCCCCCCATCTTTCTTTGTGTCTTCAAAATTGCATTTTAACAAATATAAGTATTATTTATAGTTAAAACTCACGGAGTCAAGTAAAACATCAACCACACTATAGTCCTGGAGTGTGCAGGAGAGCAAAAATAGTAAACCTTTAGTTTTGTGAGGCTAAGTGCCATGAATCCTTAAAAGATTTCTCTCTGTTTTAATTAACACAATGCTACTGAAGACATTCAGTATTTTTCAGGCCCTCAATGTGCAAAATTTTAAGTAATTGGTAACTGTTTTTTCCCCTCCATCACTGATTTCCATGTTCAGAGGGTTCTTTGAGGATCAGCTTACCATTTTATGTTGCATATTGAACACTGAACAGCAGTGAATGTACAAATTATGTGATATTTTCATATAATAAAATTACGATCAGGATAAAAAAAGTGACAGTATATAAAAGTAAGAACTTTGGTTCTCTGAAATAYTTTTAAGTATTCAATTGATGAGCTCATTAGAACCACCACTGAAGTTTTAACTGCGTCATACCGCCAGATGTTTGATTTTTTTTAAAGCCTTTCAAAGATACCCCATAGGTGGCACCCAAATGGAGCTCATTTCCCTTTCTATGGGATACTTTAAAGAGATACCAGCACCCTGCAGGATGTCTGGCTGTGCAGGAAGCTCTTCTAGGTAGCTAAGCCAAAGGACAATTTAAAGGCCAGTTCCACAGCAGCTTCTGTCACTGAGTCATGGAAACACACATAAAACTCCTGAGGTTTGGGATGGAGAATGAGTCTCCTGGGAAAAAAAAAAAAGAAAGAATAAAAAGAAGAAAATCATCAGAGGTGTTTTTTTTTCTCCTCAAATGATAGATTCTGGTTGTACYGAGGTTCCAGTAGGAAGTTAATTCAAGCTGCTGTGTAAGACAGTTGGCAAATTTTGGTGTCTCTCCTGTGTTACTTTACMTCTTTCAATACACTGGATTTTTAAATCAAGTTACTCTCTACTCAGTTTTCTCCAGGCTGTTTAGGGAAAAAAAAATCTTCAGGTTTTCATGATCTTATATGGTACTGGTCTGTTTTCAGCAATCYAAGCTTCTGGGCAATTGAGGTCCTTGGGAACAAGCCCCATTACTCCCATATTTACTAATTTTTAAACTGAATACGTCTGGGTAGTTACATTCCAACAAATTAATGAGATTCTAGGGAAAGAGCTAAACTAGAAAAACTGTTAATACCTGTGCATGCTTTTGTGTAGCATTGTAATTATTTTTTTCAAAGAACTCAACACTAGCATAAATAWTTTTTAATGTTTTAATTACCGATTTTAATTTTTCCACACAAACTGCAGTTAGGTACATTCACAGTGGGAAACAATTGTTTTTCTCTCTTTAAACAGCTTCATTTCCCAATGGAAAAGCCTCTCCAACAATTATAACTGTTCACCTCATTTGTTTGTATCACTGACTCAGCAATGTGCAACTCACCTCAGTGAAAGGTGGAAATCACACCAATGTCACAATAGAAGTGACAATTCCCAGTCACCTCAGTCAGCTTAAGTATTTCTGGATGTGCTACAGTTACATTTATTTTTAAAAAACACAATGGCATATTCAGAATGAAAAACTGGAGGTGAAATTTGTCTTTAAACTTACCCGACAACCCAGTAGTTCATTGTTGGTGGTGGTTTCTTCTGGTCAGTCCAGTTTTCAGGAGAGCACTCAAACARAAGTCCATGTTCTCTTACCAGATCCGTGTCCTCAGCTGCCTTACTAAATTCTGAAATCCCACTGCCTGCCTTCTTCTTTTTCTGTAAMACAACTGGTGAAATGTTAGTAGAGAATGAAACATTTTGACATAAACACTAGCAAATACAACTATGTGATTTCTTCAGGACTCTCTGATGAATGATTCTGCTGTCAAAAAGTCAGGCTTAGAAGATGCAACTAACTTGCTTACATGACTCTTTTCTCTATWGTTTTGTTACTTGGGCATCAAAAGGCTTTTCCATTGTTACACAAGTTGGAATTAGACACATTTTGTTACTTTTTTTGCCTTCCAGATAAACACTGCTTCTCTAATAAGACGTCAGAAATACTGCAGCTCTTTTAAAAAGGGTTTTACAATAGCTAAATCTCTCATCTTTCTTTCTCTGTGTGCCTCCCTAATTAAGAACTGTGATAGCAAGCGTCCATTGAGTAAACTTGGCCAGGCAGGAATTTTTTTTTTTTGTAAATAAACAGCTGAAGCACTTTGCTCAGAGCATTTTCTGACTCTTAATCAGTATGAGGGCATAAGAGCATAGAAAATAAAGACATTTTTTGTCTTCTTGAGCTTTTAGAGCTATTTTTTGTACAGAGCTTTTGAATAAACTTTGCAAAAGTTCCAGTTCATCTCTGCATCTGCCAATGAAACTCCTGCTCCAATCAATTGATTGAAAGGTGAAAGAAAATTTTTCTTAGAAAATGACTCAAGGAACTTCTATCTGCCATGTGCAGAAGCAGAAACCACATCTTTCAATCTGCCTACAATATTGAAGGTGTGGGCACTGAAGATCTAGAAAATATGGTCAGAACATCACATTTTATAGTTTAAGACTACAGAGCTTATTTTTGCTCAGTTTAAGATTTATTCAAGATTTCTGTACACATTTCAAAGTTAAATTGTGAATTGTCGTTGCTCAAAAAGTGATGCAAAATTAATTATTGGTCAGTTTACAGTAACTTCCATTACTGAAGCAGTTTTTTGAATACTAAACTGTAACAATATTTAGCTGATGACAAWGAATACACAGTATAATAGTACATTTCTGTATTAGACTTTTTTGTCATGCACTATGAACAAGGCAAATTTCTGTTTATTCTTTTACATTCTCCTCATGCCATAATACAGCCTGTCAATTTCAGCATTAATTGCTGAAGCCAATACACAGAAAAATACCCCCAAATTTCGCTGAAGGAGACATGTTCATCAGTTATTTCTGATTTTCAGGGCAGAATGAACCTAGTTTTTATAATYTGAATTATAAAATGTCTATTTAATSGYTGYAGCCAAAGGCAAACTGATGATAAGAAATAYTAGTTTATTCTCTCTGCTTGCTTTTGGTTTTCTACACCTCCCAACAGAAATGCCCAAAATACACAGCTCATTGCCAAAGTCCTACTCAGCCAAGCCTCAGTGTCATGTGACCAATCCACCAAATTAACACATTTTTTTAACACTTAAAAATTCCTACATGATTTACAAGGCACATGAGTCTGCACATGGGCCTAACCATAAATGATTTCTTCAGTAACATCAAGGAAACATTAAGAAAAATTACACTGCTGTTTGCAAACTTGCCTTTGTTCAATTTGTATTGTTATTTCCCATTTTCTCACTTAATTCASTTGAATTGCCACTTTATGATCTACAAAGTACAACTGACAGAATTCCACTTTGGTTTAGAGTCTGCAGACATGCAAATACAGCTGCTCATGAACCAATGAAATAATGATGTGAAAACAATCTCAAAATACTGAGTTGAGAAAATAGGGGAAAGGAGAAAGCCAAGCTTCCACACCTCTTTCCTCATGGACTGCTGGAAAATGGAACGAATTGAAAGGCAGCACTGGTAGAAATTCTCAATTAACTGAGGGTGGATGGAGCCACCGAGCTGTGCTACTTCTTTGTGAGTTGGAGTAATAAAGATTCCTTGCATCGTTTCCAGAGACAGATAGTGGAAGAGGGTATTCTCAGGACCAGATGTCAACCTTAAAAGAAATGAAGAATTTGTTTAATTTAAAAAATTTAAATAATTTGCAATTTTTTAAGACTTTTTTTTTAACTACAGTATAGTACAAAATTGATACAGGCATTCGAAAGGTTCCTTCTCTACAACAAGGAAATCCTGCTATTTCTGACTCTTAATACTCAATTTAAAATAACCAACAAATTAAAAAACTGTGATACTAGTCAGACTTGTGTTCTCAAAAACTGTCCTCAAAAAAGAAAAAGGAAAGAGAAATAAAAGCTTTATTCATTGTACGCCTACCTAGAGATAACAGGGAAGCACAAGGTTTGTATGTGTGGTCCAGAAATTCTGTGTGACATTCCAAGGTCACATAGATGTGGGACATGTGTGCACTATACTGACATTTTATTCACTAATGTTTGTCTGTTACTGTATTATTTCATATTTTTATGTTTAATTAAGCTCTCAGTTTAATAGATTCACTTCTTATAATCCTTGCATAGCAAAGCTTTGGTTGGAATAAAATTATGCAGGAACTTCTGTCATCTGTGTATATGCCAAAACCAGGTATGGCCAGAAAAATGAAATACTTCATAAAACTGAGTTTCTTACTTSATAGCATTAAGAAGTTCTGTATCTTTCTCTGAAGGGTTCTTTTTAAGGGTTCCTGAATGAAATGGGTTTGGCAGGGTGTGTTTTTTCCTAGTGGCCTGAAAAACAAGCAGATAGATGAAATAACAGAGAACACACAGCTAAAGAAAGAACAGAACSAAACCAAATTAACAGAAAGAAGAAAACAATGTTGCATTTTTAATGAGGCCTGAACAGTTACATCAACTTATGTAAATGTATTTGCTAGCCTGTTTTAGACTAAAATTGGTTAGAAGCAGTTGTACAACTCTACAGCAATTAGTCTTGATAGGTTATTTTGGGAATATTCTCCAATTASATCTGCTTTTTTCATCACAGCTGGGCCCACTTCAGTCATGTGAAATCCCCAAATATTTACAAGCAATGATAAAATAAAAAARCGTGACGGCTCTGAAGGCTGGCCCAGAGCTTCCCAAGGCAGCAAAAGTATTTTCTACTCAATTTAAGGGCTCTTAGATGAATTCATTTATAGTGTGCTTTTTCTAGAACAGTAACCTTGAGTTTGAATGARCTGCCCTCTCCCCTAATCCCCCAGAACCTGGTGGATTCTCTCAGCCTGTGTTSTCTGACCTGATCCAGCCCAGGTTGTGGATTGGTGCTCTCCTCTTCGGCGGGTCCTTCGCTGCCCTGCTCAGCTCCTCCGCTGCTCCTGCTGGGGCTCTGCCTCCGTGCAGTGAGGGAAGAGTCACCAAAGAGGCTCCTCYTGCTCACTGGAGTGGCTGCTGCTTTGCAGGAGCTCTGCAGTTTGCTCAGGATGGGCGAGGTGCCCGAGCTCTCCAGTCTGTCCCGTGTTGCAGGAAGGAACCAGTCAGCACAGGCTAAAGGTGGCATGGAAGGAGAATCCAGCCTTTCCTCTATGCTGGCATCGATTCCTTCCAGCTGCAGAATGGTTGCCTTGACCTGATCCACATAGATACAGTCTGGTCCTGGATTCCCAATAGCTTTGGACGCACAGCCTCCTGCCTCTAGCAGGACACACAGCACRAAGTGTCTCTGTAAATACAGAGCATGCAAACATCAACGATTGCTCACAAACTCATTGTGTGTTTCCTTCAAGCTAACCCCACATTTAAAAAAAGACATTTCTCATGAGTTGTCTGAAAAGATCATGGAAGTAGAAACATTTTCAACTGAAGTGACAAAGCATAAAAATAACAAGAATTTAGACTTAAAATGTTGCAAGCTTTGCAGATGTATAAATAATGYTACCCTCTGGGAAATTCTATCTCATGAAACAGCTACAATAAGAGTATTTTGCAAAATTACCCAGTGAAATGCATGGAAAGTGTTGATCTTGGTGAACAGCAGACAACACATAAGAGCCTCAGAGAACTGGCAGTTGTTAACTTACCAAGCCAACTATGAGYAGGAAGTATCTTGCCTCAGGTTCCCTGTATCCTGTCAAAGCTGCCTCTTCAGAGGGCTGGATGTGATGCTGTGGGAACACCTCCCGCCAAATCACCAACTGGCCAATCCTCTGCTCTGCTGCCAAGGGTAACAGGCAATAGTGCCGACAATARAAACCTACATCAACGAGATCTTCTGTTGGCAAGTGATTACCAATCAAGTAACCCTTAATTAAACACAGAGAAGGAAGTGTGTTCAGTGAGAAATTCAACACAAGCACGCAGCACTTCAGAGCACTTTTCATACAGAGATATCCCTGCTCCACATGCACTGAGAGCCCGAGGTTTCTGGCCACAGACTTTCCTTCTGGTGTACAGCTGTGCAACACTGAGCTTTTGGGCCATATCTAAATAATCAAAATACCAAATAGAAACAAATAAACCATCAGTACATATGCAAGTTGCCAAAGGCAGGCTGGGCTTTCACAGCTTGCAAAACAGCTACAGTGTTAAGGTGCTTGAATTCTCATTTAATTCTCTCTCCAAAAATAGTGATCTTTCACTGGATTYAATAGCATTTCTAAAGGAGATCCACAATACCACAGTGCTTCCAGCACCAAGGGCTTTATAGCTTTAGTGCTGTTACAACACTTGCAGCATGAAGAACAACTACTTGTTAAAATTGTTAAAATGCAAGTTTTCTTACAGCAAAGGCTGTTACCTTCCTCTTTATACTGTTGATTACATTGTCTGTATTTACTACATATACATAAAGCTATAAATGAGGCCAAAGTGAAAAAAACTCAACAATTTTTCAAGTCTTGGATTTAAAGACAGATTAARGATAGAACAYCTGCTATTAAAAAATAAAAAYGAACAAAAAARTTCCCATTAGAAAACCCTACAGTCTCAGTTGAAGTGACTCATTTTACTTTCTTATTATTCTCTTTCCAATCCTTGGATTCTACATTAAAAAATCCAGTTTTAAAGAAGTTTTTTTGTTCTTACTGTTCATATAGTACATGTAATTTCCTGACACTGATTTTTTCTGTTAAAAAATTATRACTTAAATCAGTCATTAATTGATTTCAAATCTGTGAGATTCTRTAAGACTAAATTAGATTTCTAGATGCATTTTCCTAATCTTTAGGTCTCAATCATTARTATTACCTTGTAAAAGAGACAAGAGCCCAGAATTACATATAATCTTCTCATGTCGTAATAATCTTCAGACTGTGGGGGGGGAAAAAAGTATTGTATAATTTTAAATTCAGCATTTTTATTTTATTTACCAAACGCAACTGAACTAATTCTGGTCAATTGCAATCAATACATTATTTAATACTTTCATATTTGACCACCTGTTATTACCAGTACAGAAGTTAATACTGAGTAGTTAAGGGAAATACCAAGTTTTAGCCTCCATAATTGAATTATGTGACATTACAATTTTCTCTAAAAATTTCAGCTCAAAAKAACTACTTTCCTATTTAATTTTTATGTATTCATGCACTATTTTTGTTAGGATATGTTCATCCTCAGYTAACAGCAAAGTAGCTTTAGCATAACTGCTGACACCAGGGGCCCTCCTAGAGTCAAACTTTCACGCCAAAGCATTTTTTTTCAGTATTTGACATTTTATGCAAAATATACCCATTCATTCATCTTTTAATGCCCACTGTTGTCCCACCAGTAGCATTGGTTTTAGATGGATATACTGAATTTTAAGTTAAATAGGTGGAATTAATTTCTGTGCAATAAACTGTAACTTATAAACTGCTTTCTGTAAATAATTATCCAGGTTCTTTAGTGCAGGGATTTTTTCAAACAGAATTTTAAAGTAACTGTTCTGGAACAYGAGCTCAAGGGAGCTCTTTCATTATGAAGTAAAGCTGAAATGTCAATGTGTTTACACATTGCTCTGCCAAGAGTTACTTAACTAAATAACTATTACCTCCTTCAACAGTATTACAAATAAGCATAATTTGTAATTGTTTTCTGCTAACTGGAAAATTAAGTTCTGCTCCATAGATGTTTCTGGAATTATTCACAATTGCTTGAGAAGAAGACAGTTATTAATACAAAGAAGAAATGTAACAATCAACTCTGTTGAAATTAGTGKTTTTGTAGACATCCTGTTGATTTAAATTATATTAAATAATGGATTTTCAGTGACTAATCCTATAGGATTATAGTCCCTTGTAATATTAAGCATGGAAAGAAACTCAGGATAAACTGCTTGGATTCCCCATGGATTAAAAGAAGTTGATGGATTTTGAAAATAATGCTTGTTTATAAACCACTGAATGGGACACCAAGGCAAGGAGATACCGTGCAATGCAAACAAAAATAAAATGTTACCAGTTCTGCAAAGTCAGCTGCTTCCAGATCACTCAGTGCTGTGTCAATTTCCACCTGAAATATTCAAGCARTCCTTTTAATAGAGATTTCCAACACATTAATTTCCAGTAATAGCACAGCTCWCTCTGTCTTGCTCATCTCAGATTAGGATGCACAAGGACAAAGCGAGTGGATAAAAACCTGCATCCATTTTTCATTAGTAACATCACATATCAAGAACACCTCGAGTTACCAGATTAAAGGAGAATCCTTTCTAATTGCTGTCTTATTTCCCTGCTCTTTGAAACTGGAAAAATTTACAATTTTTCTGCCTTTGTGACTGCTGAACCCAGTGTTTGGTACAAAGGAGATGTCACTCTTAAGTTCTGCGTGCTTCAAAACACGAGATCTAGAAACAAATCTGGCACACTGCTGCATCCAACTGAGTTACCAGAAAAATCTTTTACCCCATGGATTAAAGTTTTTTGTCTCGGTGGAAGTTGCCAAAACTCTCTCACACATTATCTTTGTTCTATTGAAACTGCTTTAAGTTTCCTTATTTCTATAACAGCAAGAGCTGTTGGTTAATGCAAGTTTTACTAAGAGTACTTTCCTTAGGTCCCAGGCACTGAAACTCATGACATTAATGTGCTACTTAATGAAAAGAACTAAATCCCAYAATCACAAGCTTCTTAGGCTGCCTGTAACTGAAATACAGCCAGTTTTCAAACAGAGAAATGTCAGYGAGGGAGTTGGCAGTCAACAACTAACCAGCCCCTCAGCTTTTCCCCAGTCAAAAATTAAATGGCTTTCTGCCTAAAGAACTGACATTTTTAGTTTYATATCCCTTATAGAATATAAAGAGCTTCACCAAAATGCTAACTGGAAATGTCATCTTCTGCAACAACACCACTTTTCTGGCAAATGTGAATGATCTCGGAGAACTCTGGAAAGACTCATGTCTGTCATAAGTATCAGCAGTGCTGTTTCCTAAATCCCTTTGTAAGAAAAAAGCAGCCTGCAAGCTGAACTGGAGAGCAAAGCACAACAGAGACTCTAGAGAAACCTGAGAGATAAGAAAAAAGCATGGAAAAACCTCAGATCAACAAACAGTAAAAAAAACACAGGACAAGGTGGAAAGAACTAAGTAATTATCAGCTTTGCAACTATAGATAAGAARATATAGGAGAAAAGAGAGAAAGCCACACCAGCAAAGAGGAATCTGGAAACAATAGCACAGACTGATGGATAACTTGCAACATCCCTGACAACTCTTAGTGATTCATAGCAAACCTGAAAACATTCTGCAAACCCAGTCCAACAGCARATTCAAAGACATTAACCCTTCATCCCTTCCTCTCCAAACATTGCCATGAAAMTTACACATTGAGGTCTTATTAAACATAAAAATCAGAAATGCAGGAAAGTCCTAGTTAATATTATGTTCAAACAAAGAGTGATGAATTACAGAATATACCACTACAGAATAARGGTAATTTTGAACATCCACACTGGGGCTTTTCACAGAGCCATTCTGAGAAGCAATTCTAATTTTCATCACACAGTCTCTTTAAGTTAAGCGAGTACAATGTTCTTTTCTTTTGTTGTTGTTGCTGATGAAATAAGTTTTGATAATGGAGTTTATGGTCAGCTCAGCTTAGAATAATTTTCTAATAATTAGAATTAATTATATTATCCAAAAATTCACAAATTTAACTATGTTATTCACACATATACAAATGTTTTGGATCTCTCCATGAAAGAAAACGATGAATTTAAAATTTCCCAGCTATTTTATTTGCATGAAATGACAGCAAATACTCATTAAAAAACGAACTCTACCATGACAAGAATAATGTATTTTAACTGGAATCACAGATATTGAAGTAATGAAAGTGTGATTTACGACTGGCAGCTATAATGTTATTTACTGTGATCTGTCTTTTGTCTTACTACTGCTTAAAGCATAACTCAATTTCTAACATAGAGGTAACCTGACACAGTGAAATGGTGCAGAAAAATTGCACCTGTCTGGTGTCAAAAAATTATATGTGGATATTTATTTTGATTCTGCAGCAACCATTTATAACTCTCCTAAATTATGAGCTGTATATGGGCTTTTAGAGTAATATTTCCTTCCTGGTACTATACTTAAATGGCCAAAATTAAACAAACAGCTACACACCAGAGGCTGCTTTCTGTACTCTTCCTAGAAAATTCTAAAGTCACCAAACTACACTCAGAATAGGGAATGATGGTGTAGCTCCAAACTTGAGTGGGATGGGCAAAGCACTCAGATAAACTGCACAGTAACAGAAGACACCTGAATGGACTTTTTGGCCYCTGATGGCCAGGTTTTCCCAGAGAGATGTGGAAAGAACATCACCTTGATTTCCTGAGGCAGTGTCAGCCAGCGCAGGCCCGGGAGGATGTCCAGGAACAGGGCACTGCAGGAATCCTGGGGCTGAGCCCCGGGGCTGCCGCCGCACCGGAGCCTGGCAGGACGAAGGGCACGCTGGAAGAACAGGTTGAAAAAATGATCCAGGCGAGGAACATTTTCCACCTGGCAAAAAGCACTGGACAAACATGAACTCCAAGTTAGAATAACACTGAGAAATTTGCAGCTTGTTGATATAACCCTGAGTGCTACACAWGTCTCTTTATAGCACAATGCTACATTTGGATGTATTTTTAACTTGAAAATACCCACTGGGCTAATATCCAGCAGTACCTACAAATAGAGAACAAACTAAAACATTGTATGATATTATAGGAGATATCTTAGAGCAATGTGAGATGAGTGAACCATCAGTCTCATCCTTTTGGAAACTGAATTTATTCTTTTTCTTTCTCTATGGCATATGTACATTAACCCTGAATTAAATGCARGCATATGACTAATCCACCTGGGCAATTTTATTTAGGTAACAGTCAGACTGAAAATCTCCTGGGTGATGTCCAAATGCAGAGAAAGACACTCACTCTGCCAAATGGAGTTGGGAAGTCCAGAGTGTTTATTCAAAAGGCAACACTGATACACACGTATGTTTTACAGACACAAAGGATAACATTTGCAGAGTGCTGCTGACATCCACAGTGACTTGGATGATGGGAATGATTTAACTTAATCAAGGACAARACTTTCTGAAGAGACACAGGCTGCCTAAAGTGTCTTACTAGTGTTAAGAGTGAAACCAAAAGGCAAGAACACAATTCTAGTTTTTATACAAGTGTAAAGGAACATGCCAAGAAATTCCCTGGAAACATTAAAATTAATCCTCCTATTTGTTTTTTCCAGTGAGCACCAATGAAAAATGAGTGACTGAAAATACTTTTGAAAGAACTCACCTGTCCAAAGAACCGTACATAAACGTCAAGATTCTGACAACATCTTCAATCATGTTCCTTAGCTGAGAAAGTGGCACACTAAGAAAAAAAAATTAAAATGTGCAGCTATGATTATAGCATCTTTTTGATGAATAGACAGTCCTCTTAGAATGTATAAACATGTAATATTACTGATGTTATTCAACAGTCTCTACAAAGCACTTGAATTAACCAAATCCCAGAATATTACTCTTTTCTAATGTACAAATATTACTGGGATCTTATTTTMTTCAGAAGAAATGAAAAAGAAACTGCAACAATGGATATATAAAAGATGTGAATAAAGCTAATCAAAAAGTGGAATCACAGGTTTAAAAACTAGTTATAGCAAAAAGAGTACATTTTAAGCCCTGCCTTTCTTGCCTTTTTGTAGAAGAGCAGAGTTTGAGGACATAAAGTTTAAAGGGAAACAAAACCTTTCCTTTGAAACTCACTTTTCTTCAGGAAGGCCAATTACAAGCARCTTGTCAGATTCTTTCCAGTAAACAACTTGAACCAGTTTTTCACATAAGAAAAGGGAGGAACTAGAAAAATGAAACCATAAGTATTTCTGTTAACACTATGAAGTTATAAAGGAGTTGAAAACTATTCCATTGAATTAAAAATCTTAGTCACTGCTACCCACTACAATGAAATTCACCCAAATCAATGCACATTCAGGCTGAGCAGTCCAGCTTCAGGCACGTTGTAGTTAAAGTGTCACTGCCTAAACAGGYTGAGTTGCTCTGATTTTGTCTAGAGCTTGATGCATTGACCCATGTTTGCTATATATGTATRTATAAAGTAATAAAAATAGTAAGTACATTTCAAATACTTTTACCTGATAATCTCRGTACCAGTAACACTTTCCAGTATGTCAGACAGTGTGAGAAATATCCCTCTCACACTTTTCAGTTTTTGGGATGCTTCAGATATGGGATACTGATAAAGAATTTCTTGCTGTGAAGAAAGTTAGCTGTTAGTTAAGCAAACCAAAACCAAAACCACTCCCAAAAAWCCCCACAGAAAACAAGATAATTAATTTTTCTTTTTTTGTGGCAACAGTTGGTTTGGCTTTTTAAAACATGAAATCTTTTATCATATCCTGGAAGTATCCAGGGCCAGGCTGGATGGGACTCCGGTCCAGTGAAAAAATCCCTGCCTGTGGCAGGAGATGGAACTGGATGACCTTCAAGGTCCCTTCCAACCAAACCATTCTGCCATTCTCTGATTTGAGTATTTGTACAGTTCTGTCAATATTTAAATTCTGACTAAAATCATCATCATACAGCTCTTTAAAACTAACAATATGAACATGAAAACTCCAGTCTCTCTCTATATAACCCTACCTAGCTGCTTGATTTGTAGAACATAAAACATAACTGTTGAATATATTATATATAAATTTTAAAATACACCATTAAGATTTCTCATGAAATATCTAATCAGACATTCTTACACAATTAAACTAAAGCTCCATAGAGATATGTGAGTTATTTTTCTAACCATTAAAAAAAAATTATATGCAAGCACTTTCAAAAATTTTGTATTGTTTCAGCAACCATAAAAATATAGTAATAAGCAAACGTGATTGCCCTGCATTTGTTGCTTTTGCCAAATCAAGTCAGGTCAAAATTAATGCATGTAATATTAAGCATATCCATTGCAAAGATTACAGTAAATTATCTTWCTACACAAACAAAAGAAGCACAGGCATGATTAACTTCTCTGTTTATGYCATTAAGTACATTCAGCCAGTGCCAACACCCGTTAGAAAATTTTCCTTCATGAACACTAAAAGAATGCAAAGTTTCATTACAGAAGGACCTGACAAACTCTTCATTCATTTCCAATTTAATTAACTCTATTTATAAATACTCATTAGTGACAAGGATCTTTTTTTCTGGAATCAATCCCTCAGCTGGAGAAACCCTGCTGTTTTCTAATTCCAGCACTGCAAAGGGCTGGAAAGAGCTTTCCCCTCACCATTATGAACTGGGTCCTTTACACAAAATTTATTAGTGAATTATCTGTACAGGTTCCCAGGGAAAGAAAAGCCAACTGTAACAAAAGGCCAGAGTTGTTATCATGTACGGCTATAGTGATTTAGCAAGGGCCAGCACATGCCACCAGATCAGCTGCCTTCAAAGCAAACCCAAAGGTCACATACCAGTGACAATGCAATTAATAAATGACAAGTAGCTCATTTCTGAAAGGGTAAATCCTCCCTCAGCCCAAACCCCCAAACCTGGACAGACTCTTCTAGTAAGAGTATCATGTAGGAGGAACATGAACATTATTCAAGACATGGTTTTGCCAAAATCAGGTCAAAAACAGAGATGTGAGAGTTGGACACTGGTACAAAAAATGTACCGTGTAATTGTACCTACCTGAAACTAAAATATAAAAAACAGCAGGATTGACCTCACTCACTGAAACTGTTACCACAGGGACACYCCCCACAGGCATACACAATCCCAAATGATTCCCAATGCTACCTCCCTTTATAGCTGAGCAGACAGAGCTTACAGGTCTTAAAGCTCATTAGTTCTATTTTAGGTGCCAGAAGCTCACAAGTGGAAGAATTATTTCCTACTTCTAGTTTCCATAGTTTAAACGGATGTGATCTGCATACTGGGCCTCCTCTGGAAATGGGTAAAGCAGCTTTTTAAGGGATCATTATATTTTCATTGTGCAGGAAGGCTTTGGTGTACCATAATTCCACTACACATTTAAAGTATTGTTTAAATTAAATCTGGGACAGTACGTATGCAGGATAGAAGCTGCTTGAAGTTCAGTAAATGAAATTAAAGACAAATGCCTTAAAGAAGGCGGCATTCTTTTGTAAGGAAATGTTACAAAGAGCTTGATTATATCAGCAAAGCATCTCTCAACATATTTRGGGCTGCATAATTGCCAAGACTTCTCAGGAAACAATTATTGCATGTTGTGAAGGGACAAGGCATTACAATCCCTCTTTTGCCTCTGTTCAATGTTCAGGATTAATCCTGTTTCTTGGGAGAGTGTAAAGAAATAATGGGGCAAGAAACCAGTTCTCAATTTACTCTGTAGTGCAGGAATTGCAATCAGGCATTTACATGTGTGAGAGGGGAGCCAGAGGCCCTGAAATTATTTWWWAAAATATTTCATAAAGTTTATGYAGTCGAGAAAACACTGGTCTTTAARTCTACAGCAACTGTCCATAGGTGTTCTATCCACACAACACAGCAGTTTGGGACTACTACACATTATGATACCGTGCAATTTTCTACTGCTCTCCTTCACAGCCTTAGCAAATAAAATGAAATATTCATTTTCATGTTCTCCTTATTTTGTGTAGTTGTTACACGTTTTCTTAATTACACATCAACAACAGAATGCACAGTTGTACCAATTGAAAAATAGTATAAAAAAATAATGGTATCTCAACCTAAGGATAAATTCCAAGGGAGAGAAAGCAAAAGGTCATCCTTTGCTCTTGACTCCATCACTGTCCTGCCATCCCAGTCCCTAGGGACTGGAAAAAGCTGTGCTTTGTTTGATGTCTTCTCATCASAGATGATCACTGGGACACAATGCTACATTTGAGAATTCACACAAGGGGAGAAGAGTCTTTTTTCAAATGTCTGTCCCTAAAGTCCAYTTTGTCCACTTGTCATTTTCAGACTGGGCAAGAGGCCAAGCCCAGCTCTATGTCCCTGTGTGGAAAGGAGTTTTTGTAGCTATGGCTACGTCCTGAGCAACCTCTACACAAACTTACAATGGCTTACATGTACACTGGCAAAATTTTTTTGAAGAACACAAAAAGAAAAGAGATGTGAAAAGCAGCTTTAAAGGACAAAGGAGAAGTACTTCAGTGGCTCTAAAATGCTGCCCAAGCAAGAATCAGTGGCTGACTGCAAACAGCAGAAATGCCAGAGACTTCTAAGAAAAGTTCCATTAGCATTTCAAAACAGGAGGAGCCAGACAGATTATGGATGTGGACTGCCAATAGCTCCTGCTGGTGGGGGAAATTTTTTGGAGTAGTAATTCAAATTGTGGAAAACATGCAATTGTGCAAATGTGGAAAACAGCAATTTGSAGAGACAACTYGGYACTGGGGAAYGCACCTTGCTGTGCAGTCACTGCYCYGKCCTGCCCTCACCTGCAGGCTGAACYGACATCAAGGCCAGCTCAGAGTTTGTCAGCAGCAATGCTGTTTCTTCCCCCCTGCAATTTCAGGTCTTATTTCTGCCTAAACGGGCATTTTACAACTGATTCACAACTCGAAACCATCAGCAGCATTTTTTATCTATCCTTTTACATCAAGTGTCACAGCAGTTGTTACCTTTCCCCTCAGCTGTATTTAGCCAGCACATACCTCATCCTTGGCCTCCTCAGAGTCCACTTTSAGCGTGAGGAACATGACGATGTGAGGCACATCCTGCTCCAYRTCYGAGCTCTCCTCTCCCCACAGGAGCCGAACCAGATTGTTCATACCTGACTGTGCCTGTTTGCTCCTTTGCTGAGAAGTTCCTTCAGCCTCGAACACCGAGGTTTCAAATGTAAGTTTAACCTATTAAGATAATTAATCACTGTGAAAATGATTACATTCTGCTATCAGATGGACAGATGCAGTTTGAGCCCTTTAAGGAGTTATGTTTTCTCAGCTTTACCAAGATGTAAGCACACAAAATTCCCGCTGTTTCAAGAAAACCAATTCTACATTCAACATCACATAACCATCTATTACAAAGGACAAAGCCAGCTATTACATGCTCTATGAACCATGTGAGTAAGCATGTGGTTTGCTGTGTTTTCATATTTAATCTTATGGTTTTGAGAATGGAAAAATATACTTACTGCTTTGGCTTTGTTTGAACACAAAACCCATTACTGTGCCTTTGAAACACACACAGCATTTGACTTCTTTCAAAATGTCAGCAGTTTCTTAAGTACACATCCTGAAGGCTCTTTCTTGACCATTTCTCTGCCATTTTGAGTGCACTGACACATTTGCACAGAGAAACCCATTTAAATTTACACTGGACTGCARAAGTCTGTTAAATTGTAACAGCAACAATTCTTTCAATCTTTCATTTCCAGTATGTGTACTTTTCTCCTTTTTCTAACTGTAAAATCAGCGAATAAGAGGATTTTTTGCTGTATTTAACAATTTACATAGCTACCAAGTAGCATAAAAATTTTTTTACATCCCTTGCTGTGCTGTCTTTAGAAGRAAAAGGATCAAAACACAAACAGAGCATCCTCTCTTAAATAAAACCTTAAAAGTTTAGATGATCAAGCTTATTTTGCAAAAAAAAATTATATCATGTTTACTGCCCCTTATTTCCCAAATTTAAAGCCAGGAATTTTAGAATAAATATATATTTCCTAACACACAAGCAACACATAATCCAAATGATGTGGAAATGTTTCACAATTTGCTTTACAGACCTACTTTTCATAAGCACTGATGGTGCTTTTAAAGCAAAAATGGTGTTTGTTAGTTGTCTCAGCAGTGATAAAAGTGATTTTTTCTTTTTTTGTGAATGAACACATTATCCTAAGTATGAGAGAAGGAGATATAACACCTAGCTCTTGACTGAGGACAAAATTGTAATTGTAATTTCCAAGGAGAAAAAATTCATTTATGTTCTTGGATGACACCTTGTTTTTTATCAGTCTTCAAAGTGACTGGAGATGTATTTGGACTAAGTAGGCCTGCTCTTAGTCTCCTTTTCTATGTTTTTACTCAAGACTGTTTGTCTGCCTTGAAATACCTGTAACATGGCTRATGACTGGGAAGTTCTGAACATAACACACCTCACCAAATCCTGCTTCTTTGTTAAAACCAGGAGAGTTTAGCCCAAGGACTGATGCAACAAAATCCATTTATATTTTCCCAGTTGTGATAAATTTGGAGAGATAATTTAAAAACARGTAATTTTCATAATTGTGTATGTGTGTACACATACTTCAAGAGATACTTAAAAGATACTTAAAGATACTTTAAAACACCCACTGCCTGTCAGACTAGCTCAGAGAAAAGTRCCATCAGCTCTCACAGCTACATTTATGTCACTGATTGCCACCTTCCCATTCCACTTTTATTTTCTCTCCCAACACTTTCCATTGATTTCTCCTCTCCTGTTTGGGCTGCTATCAGCCTTTCTTCTCTTTTCTTTTCCTCTTCCCTGCAGCACTGCAGTTGATCTTGCTCTCCTGTACTACCCCTTTCTGTTGTGACAGTAACTCATCCRTCACCCTCTCCTCATCAGCTCAGTTTTGATTCCTTACACTGCACATGAGCAGGAATACCCAGCTAAGAAGCAGCTGCTTTCTAAGACCCAGTAATCTGATAGCTGACAGTTTCAGAAGTGTGTTTTCTTCTCCAGCATTCTGTGACTTGGTTCTGTTGCTTTGTCACGCCATCTAATATATTTCAGAACATTTTCCTCATACTCTGTTTAACTTTTTGCAGATTCCCTCAAGGCTCCAACAATTATTTCTCTTAACTTCTACTGCATCTTGTTTGTGGACATTTACTCATGACACTTAGGCTACAGTCTCTACACTAATGACACACAGATGTCATTCTTGCTGCAGTCTATCTTTTAGTCTCTCAATTTTTAAAAAAAAAACAAACTCAGTCTGTCTTGTCTTAAAGACACAACCATATCTCCAGGGAAGAGCTCWAAACAAATTGGATTGAGCAGAACTTTAGCTCTCTTTCATCCTGGGGTCATCTATGCTGCCTCCCACATCACTGTAATAGAAAAGGACCAAGAGACTGCATTTCTACATATTCTTAAAAAATTGAGTTTTTTGGTGGTTTTGTTTTTGGTATTTTTTTTGTGGAGAAGACATCAATCTTCATCCTGAGCAGGGGTCAGGATTAAATATGACTACTGAAGTTCCATTTCGTAAGTACTGACTATGAAAGCTTTCACAGCTTTAATTCCATTTCTCCTGAAGAAAATCAGTCCAACACAAAACAGAGAACAAAACAGAAAATGATATAAAGAATGGGAAAAGCATTAATATTCCACTCTGTATATCATGCGCACATATTCAAAACTTAGAAAAGTTCTCAAAAAGAATTCAATCAAATGACAAGAACTTAATCAAATGGCAGGAACAGCAAACTGTGAGGGACATGGACCATGATTTTCTGCTTAGGAAGCAAAAGTGGAACACGACAGAGCTCTCGACAGTTAACTTTTTCTCATAACACAGGAACATGRGGGTATAAAATGCACTTAATTAGATGGTAATTGGAAAACCAATGATAATTAACATAATACAAATCAGTTACATAAATCATGCTCCAGGATGCTGTGGAGGTCAAAGGAATTTTAAGAAACAAAGGAGAACACACAACTGATTATACTTAACTGATTCTACAAGTCCTTTATTGTTAACTGCTGGAAGCTGGGAAATAATGATCGGAAGGTCACTCTGTATTTAATTTGTTTCTTATACATTTCTCAGTGTAGAAAAAGAAAATGTAGCTGTTGTACCACTGGTCTGCCCCAAAATGGCAGATTTCTGYCCATCTGCAGGAAAGCTGCCTGGTTTGGAATATGGATTTTATTACAGACAGAGGTGGGGGCACTGCCTGCCTTTCAAAGACTGCCTGCTGCTTCCTGTTTTCCATATCTGCTTTCCATGTGCTTATGGTTTGCACAACTGCAACTCAAAATTTCACGATGAAATTTGTGATTGTAAATGTCTGCCTCAAGCAGAATAGTTTTAGAAAATTTTGTGTAAAATGGTTCTGCAACTTCTGAGTATCAAAGTAAAGAAGAGTATATTCTTTTAGCATATCTTCCCCTTTTTATTCTTTACAGAAATGTGAAAAAAAAAAGACTGATGTAGTATTTGGACTTCTATTGCTCAGTAAATACACTAAACTAGCCTTTACTAGCCTAATTGCCTAAACTGAGATAGGAAAAACAAAATTTTTGAAATATATAAAAATGAGGTATGTTGTGTCACATGGTGCAACTGAGAAAGTCCAGGTTGGTTAAGTTTTTGACATTGATTCCAGAAATTTTAAACATGAATCTAGAAGAGTAAGGACTTCACTTAAGGAAATAACTTATATGTAAGCAAAAAGGCTTTAAACTTCATGTTTTTTGATATTTTGCAAGGTAAGATGAATAGAATACAGTAACAATTTTGCTTGTATTAYAAAATGTCAGCTACAACAACCCCCTGTTCCTTCAGCAGCATGATTGCAGTGTACTACATGGCAAAAAAACCAGAAGTCTGTATTTAAATCACCACTGGTCTATTCTAACCATCACTCTTCTGGCTTGACTCAAACTGCACAGTACAGAAGGAATAATTGCACTTTAATAAGAGGATTTGGAAAGCCACCATGAYAAACTGTTGCACATTTCAAATAAGGGCTGCCTGCTTGACAGATTTAYTGACAGTGCAAACATTAACATTACATCACAAGGAACTGCATTTTAGCAACAAGTAATACCTATACCCTAATCTAACAAAGATACAATGACACAAACTCTATAATCTCTGCTTTTTTATCATTCTGTATTCAGTAACAGTTACAGAAACTCCATATTTGGTCAAAGATGGACAAGAGAAGGTTTTTCTCTCATGGAGCTCTGCCAGTACCTGACCACAACTCCAGTAGCTCAGGCAAACTTCAGATTGTCAAATATCTTGGAAAGCATCCTGTACTGACATCCCAGTACTCACTCTCACTGCAGCTGCAAATGTAGTTCCACCGCAACTCACACTGTGTAAGTTGCAAACAGAACTTTTGTGTTTAAGAAAACATAAAATTTCCACTCTTTTTAATCTGTGGACTGTAAAACATTTCTATTATTATCATCACCTCGTATATTCCACCTAAAGAAAAACTACCAGGAGACACTATAATTTCTAACCTGCTCCTACTCACACCTCTACGTTTTAACTCTTATCTTGTCTTCCCGTCCATCAGGAAGTGGATTTAAGCACAATAACTCAAAATATTAAATTTTATGCTACTAACATCCTAGATAAGTAACACTTTCCTGGTTTAGTTCTGAAATAGCTAAATAATAATATAGCTGGTTTAGTTCTGAAATAGCTAAATAATAATAGCTCATTCTTCACTACTTATTTATTCTTCATCGAAGCTCCAAAATTATTATTCAGCTAGAAGAAAAGAGATATGCAGTAGGTTTTGGGGAAAGAAACATTTATCAGGTCAGACATTTGGGATTTTTTTATCAATTTTATTACTGACTTGTTTCAGTGTCATCACTGTTGAGTTTTGRAAGATCTTAAAAGTATTCCATCTAACATCCCTAAGAACCCTAAAAGTTAAATTTTCTATTAGAATATTAAAGCAGTATCAATTTCACCATTTAAATGCTCTTAAATATTTTTAGTTTGTGTTAATTCAGGCTTCTTTTTACTCTCTTGTGGTTTGTGAGTCTTGTTTATATTGATGAAGATATAATTATTCAAATATTTCCAGAGCACCTACCTATTTTCACATACCTTACCAGATTMAACTCTGAAATTTCTACTCGGACTGAAGTCAAGCCATACATTTAAAAGGTAATGGAGGAAGTTCGAAGAAAAAGGCCACCTAAATTTTGTTTCCTTGGGAGAAGAAGGCTAGAAACAGAAGAAGGCTGGAAACTTTTACAGAGGACATTTGGAATAAATGTTCAACTACTGTACCTGCATAGGGCCTGGAATGCAAGACAAAACCCTCTCTATGTTTTCAGAATTCACATCAACATCATTTACGGCAACAAGGGCATCTCCTGGAGGTGGAACAGACAAGAAATGAGAAGGGCAATTGCTATTATACCACAATACAGAGCAAAACAGCATCTTATCTTAAAAAATTAATATGATATTCAAACTGTAATAAATGCCTATTTGTTACATTTAAATAGATGTTTACTACATTGCAACATTTACCACATTCAGTCTATTACCTCAGTGCTCATAAGGCCTTGCAGCCACATTCATATAATTTTACAAAAATTACAGAAACATTAAATGGTTTGGATTGGATGGAACCTTGAATATCATCCAGTTCCAATGCCCTGCCATGGGCAGGGACACCTCCCACTAGACCAACTTGCTCTCAGTTTTTCCTGCCTAATGGCATCTTGCTTTTTCTACATCTGACACCCATACCGTCACTGGAAACGGGGTAAAAATAACTCAGGATCCCAAAGAAAAAATCATTACTGTAAGTGGAAAAGGTTTGAAAAATTAAAGGSACCAGTTACAAACACAAGCAGACCCAAATTAGAGTTTACAAACTTAAAATCCACATTCCTGTTTACAGTGCAAACCTGAATCTCTAAAGTGGCAACATTCCCTARGAATCTATAAAAGGCCACTGAATATTCAAGTTTAGAAGAATACTGACAGTATTATTTCTGTGTTCTACCTTGTTGTTAAACACCTTCAAATGCAACTGGAATTCTTCCCAGGTACAAGGTMGTTTGCTTAAAATCAGTGCAACACACAGTCAAGGCCAAAAAGAGAAAAAAACATTCTTCTTAACGAACCATCAGTGAGGAAATACTAAATACCCCCAAAACGCAAGTAATATTCCTCTTTAATATACCAGGCAATAACCAACTRCTCACTCTTCTTTTACATTGAAAGAAAATTCATTCCTACTCCTTCTGAATGCAAAACTATAAAAATATTTCRTTTTTGTCCTTCAAGCAATAGCTCTCTCCCTAACCTCTGTGTTTCTTGATGCACAGCACATTTAAGTTTTAGCCTGTCAAATCTTCAACACAACAGTAATTCAAAGAAAAATTTCAGAAAAGCTGAAAGTTAAACATTTAAAARGAACTCAGYAARTCCATGCCAAAGTCCAAGGACATARAAATTAGTAATGAAAAGCAGAGTACTCAGGCTACTCTAATATAACAAGAATTATAAACATGATTACTATGTTCTTCGTTAAGAATACTGTATTAAAGATCATTATTCACAACTACAAGAGAAAGCATAAATTGCTCTTGTACTCATCTGGAGTACTGCTTAAACAAAATGTTTTTGTGTTCTGTTTGTTTGACTGGATGCTTAGGAATTCTGCTGCAAAGCCCTTCAGAGGAGCTGCACACACTTTGTGAAGACATCCACACCTTAGCACTCGAGGGAATGTTTTGGAACCCCATCTCTCAGGGTGGAATAAACAAAGACACTTGGAAAGGAGAAGAGCCATCAGTATTTACATGTTACATACTCCAAGTGTTTTATTTATTCAATGCCTGATGTACACATGTAAAACTTTCATTGCAGCAGTAAATATTTATTCCATTCAATTGGTAAAAATGTAATCATGGACTATACATGGAACAGCTTTCCAKAACACACAGCTCAAGCAGGGCTGCAAGGCTGTCTTCATTCTGCCAGAAAATGCTGTATCATTATCAAAGAAGAGCAACTTGATATGCAACTGAGAAAATCTTACTGATCAACATGGACTTTCCAGAATTGCAGGTTGAGGTAGTGAGGGTGGATTTTGTCCTTCTTTTCTTTTTGCCACACAACAGCATTCAAAAAATAGAGACTATGAAGCAACAGAATAAATGACATCACTGGGCAAAGTATGAGCTATGTAAAATTACAAACCCAGAGTATTTTTAATGCAGGACATGACCACAAGATTTACTCAGTGAGATAATTAACTGCAGTGCAAGAGTTTGTACGTGCACGTCTTACTTTGTAAAAGTTTGACATCTACATTTTACTTGAGAATTGTTTCTTGCCCTTTAGCAATGTGAAAAACTTACAGAAAGACAGACTGATTTAGATCTTCAGACATTAATTATGTAAAAAAAATTAATGCAATTGTATGAAGCTTAATCTAATTGCACTTACCTAATGCTTAAACAATTTACATTAAATGAAATCAAAGTGTAGCCAGCCTTTGCAATTGTTTAAGTTGGTCTAACTCAATGGTCTACAAAGTTAGGTCAGATCATCCCAGACYCAAACATCAGTAAATTACACATGTAGGGAGACACATCAGAGTACAAAGTATCACAAAGTTCCATTTTTAGGATGCAGTGAGCCACTGCAATAGTGGAAATGAATTTTCTTCAGCCAGCTCCAGGATATCAGGCTTTGAGTCAACAAATCTATCTTTAGAAAAAATACATGGTCTTCTAAAAGAAGGTAGTTTAGATTAGATATTAGGAAGAAATTCTTCACTGTGAGGGTGGTGAGGCACTGGCAGAGGTTGCCCAAAGAAGCATGGATGGCCCATCCCTGGAAGTGTTCAAGGCCAGGTTGGATGGGGCTCTGAGAAACCTTGTCTAGCATGGGGTTAGGACTAGATGATCTTTAAGGTCTCTTCCAACCCAAACTGTTCTACAATTCTATGATTCTCTTTAAAGAATGAAGCAAGCTTTACCTTAATATTGTAATAATGAGTGATGAAGCTTGTGAGTTCTGTCACTTACTYTAGAAAGAATCTCAGTTCATGAGGAAAAGTGAGACATCCATRCATGTTCTCTGCACAATGTTAAGCAGGACTGAATTTTACTTGAGTGAGGAAACAGAAAGAGGTGAGGCAGGAATTCTTTCCTATTTTATTTGTTCTATCAGTTTCCCCTGYCCAGTCAGCAGCAGCTGAGTGTGTGCTGATCTCACACAATCTATGCATAGTTGATGGAATTATTCCTGCCTCTTCAAGGACAAAGTTTGGAAAAGTCTTTGGCACTGCTGACATCCCTAGAATGTTTTATTTCAGAACTGCCTATCTCTTTGCCACTTGAGGCACAAGACTATGTCTTCTGTTAACCATCCACTCCTAGAGATAAACCTGCAAGCACCATTTCCAAAAGTAAATCCCCACTGCATTAAGCCCAGGGATGCTGACTGGTGAGTGAGCACCACTTCCATACTGTGATGGGAAGTGAACTTTTTTTCTGAAATCATGAGAATCAAGTTGTTCACATGGGAGAGAATGGAGGACACTTTTGTCATGGATTCATGATATTTAGTTTTTTGCACTGTTGGTAATGACTTGGTGGGAGCATTTATAAAAGTTCCCATATGCCTTTCCAAAAAAGGCAAACTATGGAACACATTCCTGCTGAAGACATATCAAATACTTGCTTTATATGTTAGCAGGCTCCTTTCAGCCAAACCAAGAGGAGATTCAAAGAACAAAAGTGATATCCTAAACACCACAGTGAGAACACAGCAAAGCTTACACAAGCTGTTTCCATCTTGTGAGCCCWACTTCTCTACTTGGGAAAGTCTTCTCAATAAATACACCATATAAGGTGAATTCCACATAAAAATCTCAAACTCTTCTAGTACTTTGGTCCTTTCAAGGGCTTTTTTCCTGATAGGACTCTTAAGGATATGGACCTTGCAAGTGAGGCTTGCAACAGCAGCCTATAGTTTTTGCATACCTGTTCAAAACTGGATTGTTATAGCCCATCTTTACTGTCATATACAATTCTTGTCAGTGGGGAGTTTTCACWATTTTTTGACACTGGTAAGGTGAGAAGATTCATGCTGAGCTATTTGRTGTTGAGATCAGTAAGATAGTTTTGAAAAGGATAACAATAGTATGCTCTGCTAGTRAAAAGAGCTTTGCTGTATTTTTAGTGTAATTTGAATTAATTTTTTATTTTTACTATAGTAAAGATGATGCTCATCAGCATTTACAAGAACTTGAATTCAACAGGTTTCAATTTGAAGGGGTGTAGGAATCAAATTATAATGGCATTACTTATCACAACCGTTATGTGTCTGRATCTAAATGTGAGTATTATGAGAAGCTTTTCCTCTTTGAAAATATGCTCAAAGCTTTCCATAGCAGACAAAGATTTGCATAATGCTGCAAATTAACTTAAGCAAGGAAAATGTTTTGCTAAAAATACAAAAGACACTTAAAAAGCATGAGATAGAAACAACTGTATGTCATCTTAACCAAATGAAAGTGGTGACAAAAGTTTAAAAATCAATGAGGGTTTTTCTATTTTGAAAATTGAAGATGGATGCTGAATTGCTACATATAAAAAAAAAGATAAATGAACTGATAAACAACATATGGATAGAGTGCCATGTTTTTAGAGTAACAAAGCAGCAGGGTTTTTTAGCTTGCAAAACTAGTATTTACTTTCATATGGTCAATGCCTGCATTCCACTTGGTTAATAAAGCACAGCAACAAGACTTACGACTTCCATATGCAATCTTGAAAACAAAAATTAAAGTGTATTGTGCAAATAATAAACAGATGTTCTAAGTGTTYAAAGCTATAAAGGATACACATTTAAATAGAAGAAGCCACCTGAGGAAAGTTATTATTAAGGATGGAAAATGAAGTTGTTTCTACTAAAAATGCTGAAGCATAAATGACTTTGTAAGTCAACATGAGTACAACACACTGGTCACCAGAAAGACAACCAGATGTCATTTAAAAGCATGTATTTTTAATGGAAAATATAGTTTGGATTTGCCTCACGAAAGACTACTACCAAGCTGATCTTGACCACTGAAGGCCAAAAAAATATTAAAAAAACAAAACAAGAACAGGTTAGCGTTTATGCACGTACAGGTCAGTGAAGAAGAACAAAGTTATAACCAGATCAGCCAGCAGACATTGTGCTGTGCTGAGCAGGTATTCCTCGTTTGTGATGGTTTAAGAAGCTACTCACTTTTGTGACAATTTTCCAGTTTTAGACTGACCACAAAAATGTCCTTTACTGSCTGGTTCCACAATTCTCAACCGGACTCCTAAAAACTACTTTGATCAAGAACAACTGATAGGCAAAGTTGTACTGTTATTGTCCTTGAACTTTCTGTCCACTTTCAGCTCCTAGGAAGATCTGAGGAGATATCTGTTAGCTTCTAAATCAGCTTTGGGTGTATACCACAGCTATCCCATCCTGGGATGTGCAATACAGAAGCAGTAAACCAGACAGATTTTTTACAAGAACAGATTTTTTTTTTTACTGTATATTCTTTATGCAGACATCACTGAAATTCGAACATCTAATTTATGCAAAGCATCCCTATTTCTAGACACCACATAAAAATTCCACAGTACTCAACTTTGCTATAGATATATAATTTGAAAGTATTTTTATATGAAAATGATATATTTTATGCTGTTGGCACTGAATACAGCTCATTTTCCCAGTTAAGAGCTGAATAACTCCAGTATGCTTCAAACTATCTCATTTTCAAAGTGCAAAAAAACAAGGGAAGGGTTGATGATAGCCTAGGATATATTAAATTGCATGMCTCTTAGATTAAGCTAAATGTTCTGTTTGAAACAAACAAAAAAAACCCCAGTTTTTGTCCTCGCTAGCTCTGGGAAGGATTAGAGTGCAGCAGATGAAATAGTATCTCTGGTTAGGTCAGCGTGATCTCCTGGATCTGGTACTTGCCTACACAGTTCTGACTTCACACCTGCTCTGGCAAATATGTTATATACAAATCTGTGTCCCAAAATTAATGTATAGGTTACAAACACCCAGCCTTAAACTAATTAATGATTGAATACCATTAAGCAGATCAAGCTGAAATTCACTCTCTCCTCCCCCTCAGTCCACATCCCCCACTTCTTGACTAATCAGTTCTTGCTGGTAAAATTTGAAAGTTATCCAATTTTCCCTCTAGAGTATTCTTTAGCATCTCTACCAAAAACACGTGCTGGAACAATCAGCCAGTCAAATCACAATGTGCCTTTTTACACACACAACACTGGAATTTCAAAAGCACTCATGCTGACTTTGTGGGATTTGTACTACTCTAGCATTAAAACTTTTAATGATTTTCTAACCAACATCAAATCTTTGCTCTCTCACTCTGTGAGAGACAGCTTCAAGGGTAATTAAATAATCTTTCACCCTTTACAGATGTGGCCTGGTTGTCTCACATTTACTGTCTTCTGAGGTTGACATCCTGTGAGTGTCAAGTTTTTAGTGCCTCGATGATGGAAGTGGGAGTATTTCTGCTCCCTCAATACCCCTCACAGCAGTTCATTCCCCTCCACCATTCACGTTCRGTGCCTGTCAGACCTTCTGTGACCCAAGTTTAACTTACTACACCAGCAAAATGTTAGACAGCCAATTTCTCTTCTGGGTTACTTTCCTGCCAGGTTATTTAGTTGCATCAGCTCATGGAAGTGTCCGAGCAGCCAAACCAACACAAAGGATGTACTGGCTCCCTGCCTCCCCAAACTGCAGCCCTGCTATGGATTTGCAGCCTCTCAGAATCACAACTGCTGAGGAAGCTGCTGTTAGACTTGCTAAACAGAAAAATAACCAAACAAGGCTGTGCAGAAAATTTGTAATATACGAATGTATCTTACTTAGTGTTTTTTTCCTCATTTTATGATACTAAATCAATTTACAGCATATATATGGTAAAAGTTTTTATCTAAGAGCGTTGCTGTAGAAAAGAATAAAATCTAAATACAGTATCTGTCAGACTAGCTTTCCCCCCTTCCCCTTATCTACTAAGCAAATCCTCAGWTAAAATCCTAAATTTAAGGTGGTGGTGGGTGGGCTATTTCTTGCTCCAAGCTCCTCAGTCTCAGAACACTAAGGGACAGCCATCTCCTTACTGCATTAACACTTTTTAGGTTATGTCACATGCTCYTAAAACCAATAGTACAGTAAAATTGATTAGGCAACAAAACAYCAGATACACTGTCACTGATTTAAAATAATCCCTCAAGAACTGATGTAGTTGCTTTTGTCTCAGGAATATTYAAATCAGCTGCCTCTAACAGCAAAAAAAAACCACATAAATCTTTATATTAAAGGAAGAGTGTAGAAGTTCACCATTCCTTCAGTTACTTACCAATGAAGATTTGACCTGTTTTCATTGCAGAACTACCTGGCACCAAGCCATGTACCACAAGCTTCTCTTCACTGACTCCTCTGGTGACTTTATCCCTCCTGCCTCGTTTTTCCACTCTTCTGCTGCTCCATGAAGACTGATGGACAATCCCTACTAAGGCCTCCAGCAGTCTCTGCTGCTCTTCTTCCTCAGCACTGTAGAGTTTTCTGGGATTTACATAAACAGACACATCTTTGTACTTCTGCTGAACAGTGACACCCATTTTTTGCGCAGACTGATGTTTCAATATGGAAGTAGGACCGGTGGGGTGCACACTGCAGCTTCCACTGCCCTTCTTACCAGAATGCTTTGGTAAAAGACTGTTCTTTTTTAGCATTTTGGTCCATTTCTTCAGTTCATACTTTCTTTCCTTTCGTGRTCCCTCTTGAATAATTTCAGCTTCATTTTCACGAAACCTGACGTGATTCACTGCTGGCATTTCTGGACAGCTGTTCTGAAGCAGAATTTCTTCTTCGCTTTCACTCAGTTCTAAATAAAATAATTCCCCATTTTTCTGCACACTATCCAGCCACTCAGGTTCAAGGTCACTGGAAAAGAAAAAAGAATCATCAGTGAGCTCTGATAAGGATATTGCTATGCAAGTGACATCTGATTATTTTAAGTAGGAGAAGGACAGAGAGAGTACAAGGGTTAAATAAAAAAAAATAGTTGTCTCCTGAACACTGACAGCTCAACTGCTTTAAGTCTGCCAAGAGGGTTAAAACTTGTTTTAGATAAATGATGGATACGGCAAGGAAAGAGATCCCTCTCACATGTTAAAATAGTTTCTTCAAATGCCTTAGAGGAAAACAGCCATTGCAAAAGCAGTATTCTCTTTTCAGAAAATAAACAGCAGTTTCTTTCACATGCAATTTTTAAATTAGTAATTACATTCATGTGCATGATGGGACTTTCTCTTACAGAAAAGATTCTATCTTATTTGTTCTCTCCCATTATTTTTTCCCTTATGCATTTGTAACATAATCGTGGTATGACTTTTGAGGTGGTCCTGTGCAGAGCCTGAAGATGGACTTCTTTATCTTTGTGGGCCCTTTCTGACTCAGGRYATTCTGTAATGCTATGGGAAGACAGATTGTACTGCCAGCCYTTCRTAAAGAGAATATTAACATTTYTAAAATCACTTAAATTWAACATAAAAAATCCCMAAAYAATYTAAGATRAAATCTAGGTAATAATTTTWAAAAGCCAAGTTGCACATAGCATATSCAAGYTCACATGCAAAAAATACACACTAAAAATGCAAAGAGGCATCACTGCTATAGAAACAGTTGTGGCAGCTGGAGTGGATCACCCAAAGTCAAGAGCAGCACRTTGCTGCAAAGCAAAGGCAAAGCAGTTCCAGGATGTGTTAGCAGAAGTACCATCAGCACAGTGCAAAAAATTTTTTGTCCTAATTTGGCAACAGTGATGTGTCAGCCATGTCCAGTTTTGGATAGTACGTCTTAAGAAAGATGTAATAACTGGAACATATCCAGAACAAAGAGACAAATACTAAGCAGCCTATATACACATTTTGAAGGGAAAGAAACTGAAGGAAATCATACTCTTTTCACTGAGGAAAAAAAACCAACCCAAAAAAAGTCTGCTGAGAGGCAACAAACCAAATGAACCTCAAGGTGAACCATGGAGTGTTACTCCAGATGGATGAGGATCAATAATGGCCAAAGAGTACTCGTAAGTTTAATTATTGGGGATGTTCTGTGTGGAAGACTTTCAGGAACAGACAAGACCAATTAATTCTTCCTAACTAGATCTCCTAACTAGATCTAACCAAAAGATCTCCCCGTCTCATAAAAATCATATAAGGAAAATCGAGAATGGAGATTGACATCATAATTAATATAAGTGTTTAAAGTTAACATGCATTCATACACTTACACTGGAACTAATGTTACTGAATAGAGAGTGCAAATCTGAGTTAAAGCTAGTATTAAATATCTCATATAGATTACTTTGAATACAGATAAATGATAAAGTTTCAAAGTTTGGCTGAACTGAGAGCATTATACAGACATTGCACCAGAACACCTTTAAAGGCTCAATGACAGCATCTGGCTGGACTGACAATACAGAAAACATTGGCMTTACTCTCTTTCTCCAGTCCCAGTTACTGAGAGAAGTCTATGGATATTGCAGACAGGAAGAAAGATCACCTTCCTCCTCTGCATCTATGAGCTTTTTTGCCCTAGCAAACAGTTTAAAGAAAGAGCCACCACTTGTGCTAATTTGGCTATACCCAATGGTCAGGGATAAATCCGAGTTTGTGACTTCTGCTGAGTCTTACCCAAAATCCTGTGTTCTTACTMAAGAAAGTACCAGATCTTTATAAAAGCTGTTTCTTCTTTGGGGTAGATGTCAAAATTTCAGCTTGGACGTCAGTTYATACGTCCATGTTCTCCTGCTTTGTAGTCTATTTTTATTAGAACAAGATGGACCAAGAAAAAAAAAATGGTGTGAGCTTGTGTGGTGTTTACTCTGGATTCACTCAAACAGAACCATTCCAGAAAGAAACCAAGAAGAAACTGTACTGTAAAGAAACTCTCACTTTCTCAATACATATCCACACAGACATCTGCAAAAGCAAAGTCTGAAACAAGAAATCTGCACTTAGGATTCTTCCCCTAATGCTGTAGCATCACAAGAGATTTAAATAAAGCAAGGAAAGAAAAAAGAAGAGGGAAAATAAACCCTTGTTTTGATCTCATTTCCTTTGTGTCAAAGCAAGTGCTTACACAATTACCTCAACTTGCCTCTAGGTCTGGAAGCTTCAATCAAGGGATCTTAAAAAACTTGAAGACCTGCATTTCTCTAGAGTAGTCTCACTGATCATAGACAGATAATTCCCTTTTGGGATAAATGGCTGAAAAACTGTGCTGATTGAAATTGTCCATTTATGGAAGGAAGATACATTAGAAAGAAAGGCTCCAAGTTCTGCTGGATAAATTGTTCTACACATAAATTATTAAAAGCATTACACATATTATTACAAATACAAGACATTGTGTTATGCACTGAAAACTGCAGAAGACAGCTTTATTCTCTAAACATATATAAAGAATGACAGTAAAAAGGCATWTTAGATGAAAGAATTGGGAAGGGAAAAAGCCCAAACACACAAAATCTAAAAACACATTGCTTCGGGCAGAATTGTTACAGTTGACTTCTGGCTTATAATTAYAGGAATAAAGTAAGGTAGGTGTACATACAACAGCTTTCTCTGAGCCAGAGGTACAGGGCAACTAAAAATTGGAGTACACTTGAACACACTTCTAACTTCTCCCATTTAAATATCCTTTTTTYCCCTTCCACTCCATAGCATCATGAAAAAAACATGCAGAATGAARTGCCATTTCGATTATACCCTGAAATGTGCATCTGAAGCGTCAAGCAGAGCGGTTGTAACGCAGAAGACCAAGTTCATTTAGTAAGTTTTCATTTTAATCAAATTAAAAAGAAAAATACAAATAAATTAAAACCCTGGTGGTTGCATTTATAACTTTAAAATATTTATTAGTATTAAGAGTTGTCTTCTGACTTAGTATTTCCCAAAAGAGAGGACACTGAAAGGGAAAAACTACCCCTCGCATGTGCCAAGTCCCTCCTTCCCCTCTGCTTCCCAGGTCGTGTCCAGCTGGGATGCAGGACTCAATCCAAGGACTGCCCGCAGCTCAACCCACGCCGCGTTACCGTCAGGGCTCTGCAGAGACACATCACAAAGCTCACACCGTTCTCTGCTCGTAAATCCCGAACACAGCACCGGGGGGCTCCGGCCGCCTCCTTTCGCTGCGCAGGGGCGGCGAGACCCCGGGAAAGCCCCGGGACACCGCGGCGCGTCCTTCCCGGCCCCGCCCTTACTCGGAGCTCGCAGACAGCGAGGAGCCGGAGGAGCCGGAGGAGCCGCTCTCGCTGCCGGTGCCCGCGGGCCCAGCTCCTTCTCCCGTGGCCGGTTCCATCCCCTCAGCGACGCCGCCGCTCCCGCCGGGCCCCCCGGACGCCATGACAGCCGCGCGCCRGGCGGGGCACGTGACCCGCGCCGCGCTCTGCCATTGGCCGGGCCCCGCGCGCCATGGAAACGGCGGGAAGCGCGAGGGCCTCGCCGTGAGGGGAAGCACCGCCGTTCCTCCGGGATGGAGGCAAAGCGTGCTTTGTAATGGGCATTTTACTGTATTCCCAGCCTCCCCCGCCTCCCGAACGTCTTTTTGTGGCTCAACGGGAATGCATCATGGAGAAGCAGACGTTATTTAGTTGTCCGATTACAAAGTCTCAGCACCCGACCCATAAAAGACCCCCTTTTAGTGAAACCCGGAGCCCTGGGGTAGGGCTCAGAGCATTGTAACCAAACACTGATGAGGAGTCGGAAACAGGAGATAAAAAGTGATTCTCGAGTCAACCGCTAAGCAATGGGATGCCTTTATTTTATTATTAATTAATTTATATTATATTATATTAATATATATTAATATATATTAATTTAACTATTATATGGTATTATATTGCTATTATATTAATATTATATTAATTATATATTATATATATAATATTATTATATTAATTGCTATTATATTAATTTAATGAGCTGTCAGAAACAAAGGTAGCTTCYTAGTCTTGCCAGGAGAGCTGTGCAGTTCAGAAGAAAGGATGTAACAGACTCAAGTACCTTAAAATAACCGATGCAGTCTACACGTGTAAAATCATGCACAGTCAAGAAAGAGACAAAARAAGCCCCACTACTCGGTTTTCAGGACCTAAATTATTCATATCCATGAAAAACAAGACCTATGGCAGCCCCGCAGACAACGTGCTGTGTAACCGTGTCAGTAAACCCATCAGGACACACATGGTGAGTGGGGAAAGGGATGGAGAGTAATTGTTGGAACATGTTTAATGCACTGCATTTAATCTCTGCTCAGTGGGATATTTGCACAGCTTCAGCACTGAGGTTTTACAGCGCTGGAACGCTGCGTAGGAGTGACAGAATCCTGGGATGAAGTTCCTATACTTGAAGCTACTTCAGGGAAGCATTATTAGTAAGTGTGATTTCAAGTGTATTAACAGACAGAAATGTTTTGGACTCATGTCCATGTGATTAAAGCTTCAGGTGGAGTAAAAATACCTATATTAAGTACTGTGGCCATTCTGAAGTCCCGTATAAGACCTGATTTTACAGATAAATTACTGTTGCACCGTTTTTAAGACGACAAACCTATCCAGAGGAGGAAACACAAACATTTCCTAAAGGAAAAAAAAATTGTTCTACTAGGATTTCATTTGGAAGTAGGTGCAATACACTGCCCCACCCTCCCTAATTATGCTTRCATTTGCAAGCACTTTTAATACACCGAGCAGCACACTGAAGTGTTTCTGTAGAGAAGCGATAGTCAGTGCCAGATGGTYCTGTGTTAGTTAAATTTCCCGGAGTTCAAGAGTTGGTTAATTGGTTCCAGTCGTTTGCTCGCTAAGTGAGAAACASAGGCTCTCTCTCAAGGAGGCAGTGGTCTTATACCACTTGCTATTTTATAGGAATAAGCATGTTATGAATGGAAGGATGATGGAAGGCTTTGGTCCTCTGGGAGGAGTAGCTGGGAGCCACCTAAATACTTAGCTGAAACGAATGCGGAATTTTTGCTGCTGTGGGAACAATTAAAGATTGCAGGATAWATCTCACACAGCAGGATCTTATTTTAGTGAAGACACAGATTTTTCCCACACAATCMCTCTTGAGAGGAAAGCCTGTCATTTCTCGGGCATAAATATTAGGAAGAGACTTGAAATAATTTGTCTTCTGGCAGACACTTTACACTTAATCCAAGTAGCTGGGGCTGATGCTTCTCACTAAGGAATCCATGAGCTCTCTATGCTAAATTGCTGTTATTAACATGCAAATGGTAAAAATCTGCCAGGGGGCATCCCTGGCATCAATAGCACTGCTCACCCTCACTGGACAGCTGGTTAATGAGCACTTAGGAGTGGATAATTAAAGCCTGAAGGTTGTTCTGATTRGCTGTTCCTGCAAAGAACTAAATCCATGTGTGGAAATTTATTTCCTGAACAAGAGTTTCTTGTTACTTTTGTTGGCTTAACCTGTTACAAAAGCTGTTGGGCTTTTAAAATAACAATGTGCCTTGATCCATGCCTAGATTCAGAAGTAGATTGAAGTCGAAAGAAGAAAGGGTGTAGCACACACCAATGAGATACACTGGTTCCATACTTCAAATTACAGATCTTCATTAGTAATMAAGAGGTGAGAAGGCCTACATGATTTTTTTTATTGTTTCATTTTCTCCTTTCTGCTTGTTTTCAAACCAGTTAATGTTTCCAGGAAGGCTCTATCAACCACTGGACAGAYAGAAATGATACACTGCAGATAAAACATGATATGCTACAAGCAGGTAAAGAGGAAAATAGTTTCATCTTTKTTCTGTTTCTTGCTAACACCTGTTTTATTGATAGAAAAACTAACAACAAATATGAGTTACATACTTCAGCCATTCACTCTATATTTTTTATTMCTCCGGTGCACAGCATCAGCAAAATATGACAGAAATTATTTCTTCTTTTTAAAGATTGATGACAACATAACTTTCCCTGCCCTGCTAAAGTCTTTGTTAAACGACTTTACCCATATTTCACAAATATTCCTTAATAATTAAGATTTTTTCATTACAAGGTTTCTATAAAACTGTGTAAGATTGTGATTAGAGAATCTSCTCACAACTCCTCTATCATGACTGCACAGAGACCATCCACAGCAAAGTGGCATGAATTGACGGGTGACACTAGATTGTCATTTTAATGGGCATATTTACATATAAACAGACTCCACSGGAGAATGGAGGCTATTTTTGGGACCAAAGTAACAGAAATGTTGTGAGAAAACATTCCAGTGGACAATAAATAAAATATACTCTTCTTTCTGACCTCTTAAGCTTTCTGTATGTACTGTTTAATCACAGAAGGTATTTTAGAAGGGCACAGAACCAACAAGAAGACAGCCATGAAGAATCTCTGAAGAGTAGTACAACCCATCTCATCCTTTTGAAAAACATTCTTAGAGTTAAGAGTTCTCTTCAGAATGAAAAGCAGCTGTCATTTTCAATGTTTTTTCCCCTATTGCTTTTACCTCACCTTAAATCTTTTAAATACGGGGTTTTTTTAGGATCACCTGCTATGCACAGCAGGCATGTCAGGCATGAAAGAAAACCATTATTTGCAGTCGGTCAACATGCAAATATTTCAAGCATGAGTAGCTTTATTCCACTTAGAGTATATTAATATAAGCAATATCATGGGGACAGCATGTTTTTAATCCAGCTCCGAAATAGAGCATTTTCTGTTAACTCACTGAAGAAAAGTCATGGACAAGGCTTCAGAGGGTCTGTTTGCATATAAGCGCATTTATTGTGCATGAAGCACAATAGTGCCATACAGAGAGCAGGCTGATTCCTGTGCTCTGTGTTTGCATCCCCAGCGCTCACAGGAATGGATTTCACACGGCTGCTCGGTCTGACCGCCTTGAGCTGGAGTTAATAACCAGTTGTTAGTTTCTACAGCAAGAGCAGCTTGGAGCTGGCACCGGGAGWGCCCGTGTGCTTTTTCTTTGCAGCTGGAAATAAACCAGCGTGGCTGAGAAACAGGAAACGCGCGCTTAACAGAAAGGGAGATGAGCTTCTCTTGGATACCGCTGAATGGGATGCGTTTTTCTTTGTAAAGTTTCAGCGGCTCTCAGCTAGCACATGGAAAATGCCATTAAGGGTGCCTTTCAAAGTCCGGAAAAGGACTATTAGAAAAYATCTTGTTATCGAGATGTCTTTGTRGAGGGATACWGTGGAAAATCGCATRTTAGGGATGGTGAATRCAGGAGGAAAAGCAGCTGCTTCTCATACCCTGTGTCTCCTGTATACTCACTTAAGGATTTTTTCCCATCCCTCTAGGATTTGTGTGCCAGCTCGAATACATTTTCCCTTTCCCTTAAAGAAGAGTTCAAAATACTTGTGGCATGGATGCACGAGCATCAATCCGTATCAAAGACTATCGGCACAAGTGGGAGTCCCAGGCGCAGCCCCTCAGCTCCCCTCACCTGCAGATCCTCCCTTTCTCCAGGAAGGAAGGAGGAAAACCCGAGGGCGCCTGGACACCCCACCGACAGCCGTGGGCACCGGGGCAGCCCCGGCTCCTCATCGTGCCTGCCGCCACGACAAAAGGGAAGCTCGCCGGGGATCCGGTGGCTCCACGGTCCCTCCGCCTGGCGGGTCCTGCCCTGCGGAGGGGCTGGGGAGCGTCTCCCGGGGCGCCGGAGCCTCCCGATGTCGGGAAGCGAGCTCAGCCGCTCCCCCGTCCCCGCTACTGACCTGTGCAGCAGCACGCTCTGCACCGAGTCCAGATCCTCCAGGTTCCTGGTGACGGGCCGCGGGATGCTGTACCTGCCCGCCCCGAACATCGCGGGCGGGGAGCCGGCCGCGACCCCCGCATCGCCCGGCCCGCGGCACCGGGACTGCGGGCGGCCGCGGGCAGGTGGGAGCCCTTGAGCCCTKGAGCGCTCCCGCCCCCGCCGCGCCGCCCGCCCGCTCCCGGGGCCCAGCGGCGCCGCACCGCGGGGCGCGGGGGAAGCGCGCCCTGCGCAGCCGGGGAGAGCGGGGCTGCTCCTGCAGGGATTGTGCTGTGACACGCTATGCTTTCTGCCAGGGACTCGCGAACCGTTAAACCCGAGGTTCGGATAAATGCAGTAAGGTCATTCCTAACTGCAGCCGTAGATTTTACTTCTTTTATTTATTTTTTTTTTCCCCCAGAGCTTCATCCACAGCTCCGGCTATGTGAGAAAATAGTTTTTCCCCATGTATTTTCCTGCTGGTTAAAATAGTGAATTGCCCAGTTGATCCTCTTTCCTTAAGTGACAGCATGAATAATTACCAATCCCACAAAATCCAGTCCAGTCTTTTATTCCCTCTTTCATAAAATAATAGTAACGAGTGGTTTCAGACTATCACAGGACTCCTTCCTGGTTTACTGTAAAATTCTG